TCGACCGACTCGCGGTTCACCGAGGCTATCCATAAAAAGCGTGCAGCGCTGGAGGAAAACGAAAGAAGGGGCGGGAGATGGAAAGGCTCTGAGCTCTTGAAAAATTCGTATCGCTATCCCCACCTATGCGATGTACGGTAGCAAGCACGCGCGAAATACAAGCTCGATCGATGCACGCAGGAAACGTCGTTAACTGCTCGTTGCACAGCGTGTATACATATCGGGTGGAGGGCGTAAGTGAATCAATAATCACACGTTGCATATAAATCAATTTTTATTGCAATTAATATTTAAGTATCGGTTACGCGCGTTAATATTCAGACACGCCGCAATCTCCGCGTTCGTTGCTTCGCGTAATAAGGTGATTTAAATACGCAGCGCGTTCTGTCTGAGAGGACGAACCGTCTCATCGTAACTCGAAAACACGTAAACGTCTTCGCTGAGGCGACACGGAGCAACTTTTTCTCGCCGCTCGTTGCTGAATATCGTTTAGCTTGAGCAAAAAATTGCTGCAACTTACCGTTTGTTCGAGATGTTCTGCGGAAGGTGGAGCAACGACAGACGTTGCTCGATGTTGGTAAAGTTGCCGAACGCAGGCGAGAGGCTTCGCGGTGTAGAAAATACAAATGATGCGAAATGAAGAGTCGAGGCAGAGATAAATCGCGATGAAGACAAAGTCGCTGAGATTAAACGCTGCGAATAGACGGGTTTTGCCTGCTCGCAGACGAATAATTTACACGATACGGCCGGATATGTCGGCTACTCGCGGGATATAGGTCGTTATAATATAAGCGTAAGAAAGAAAAAGCTGGCGACATTAAACATCTCATAAAATATTACAACTACCTATCTTTAAAACCGTGAGATCTCGATGGCTCGCCATAAGCGATCATCGCGCGAAATCTCATTACGAAGTTCGTGCGTATGTAAGTACGTGGACAGTTACATAGACAGCGATGCTACCTATGTACAGGGTGTTTAACTGAAACTAATCGCGTACAGTCGATCACAGAGATCTCGTATCGCGCGTAGAACCCGTAGAAACATCAAATATAAATGTAAGTATATGACGCGTTAGCTGTTATGAATTCTGTCGGCGCGTTGATTAGATATCCGGATGTTAACTTTATTAAGAGGAAAGAAGCGAAGGAACGCGAAACAGTACAACGTTAGGAAAATTGCACCAAGTATAGATGTTACGTGCACTCGCATGAAATCACGAAACGTATGCAACGATAACCTTCCGCTGTATTCTCGACGTGGAAAAAATTGAAGATTTCTGAACGAGAAGAGAACTTCTGATGTAGCCAGGCAGTCGAGCTTTGTCTAGCTTTTGGCATCCCCTTTAGAAATACACGTATCAACGACGATTGTACGGTACTGTACACGTAATCATAACAAAGCGGGTTTTTGGTTTCTTCGGTTAGATGCAGAAAATTCCATAGACTTTCCTCACTTTTGGTAGAATTTCCAATCAGCCACCTCTGTGATCGCGCTAAATAAACGATGTGAACCGACAGCGTCCACCGACACCGCAGTCATCATTTTGGTTCATAATTTTACCAACAGCCAGACTGTGGATTTTTCATTGCAAATTCGTGCTTTCGCAATTTTACGTTTGCTACGGAATGCACAAAAATCTGGTAGAAATGATGTAGAAGCAACGCGAATCACAAGAACGGAACTGCATTCCTACGTTCCCTCATCCGCGTTTTCACATTCCGTACGCTACGCGGAATCGCTGAACCTCGCAGCCGGTTAATAGATTGATCAGTAGCACGGATAAAACGATTGCTCCGCCAGCCGTTTATCTGGCTATCCGCTTCTTTTCGCTCGTCCGTCTTTTTGCCCG